TATCAGTATCAGCAGAGCAACCAAATTGACACTACTCGATGTGTCTAATAACCGTTTAGAAGAGATCGAGCATGCCGATCTGACGCGTTTGACCGGGCTCCTGAGACTGACGTTGGCCAATAATCGTCTTATGCGTCTACCTCAAGACTTTGGCGCATTCAAATCTCTCCGCGTACTCAATTTGTCCTCGAACTACCTTGACAAATTCCCGCTTACCCTATGCAAACTAGAAAGTCTTGTTGACCTCGACATCAGTTTCAACTCGATTGGCTCCGTGCCTGATGAGATTGGAAGTTTGAAATGTCTAGAAAAGTTCGTCATCACGAACAATCGGTTGGCGGGGGTTTTCCCAGCATCCACAAGGCAGCTCGCCAACCTCCGGGAGCTCGATATCAAATTCAATGCCCTTACCTCGATTGATGTGATCTCTACACTGCCTAAGCTAGAAGTGTTGACTGCGGACCACAACTCAATCTCGCAGTTTATCGGCAGTTTTGAACGCATTCGCAGCCTGAAGCTGAATGCAAACCCGATTACGAAATTTGAAATCACGGCTCCGGTTCCGACACTGAAGACCATCAACTTATCACACTGCCAGCTCGCCAGTATTGATGGGTCATTCAACAACATGGTGAATCTGGAGCGCCTGGAGCTAGATTCGAACTACTTTGTTTCCCTACCCAACACACTTGGCAATTTAAGGAGACTGGAGCATTTCACCATTTCTCACAATTCGGTCGGCGAGCTTCCTGCTGAGATCGGTTGCCTCATGGAGCTGAGAATCCTGGATGTGAGAGGAAATAATCTCAAGAAACTTCCCATGGATATATGGTGGGCCAACAAGTTAGAGACGCTTAATGCCTCTTCCAACGTTCTCGAAAACTTCCCTAAGCCGGCTTCGCGTCAGCCTCAGCCACCCGGGGAAGCGCCGACGACAGCTTCTAATGCTAAGCTAGCGAGCGGGCCGTTGTCTCAGACTTCTAGCACGGAAGATTTGCTGCCTGACGGATCTCGTCGGCCAAGCCAGGCGAGTAGTACGCTCCTCAGTGTGGGGCCGAATCCAGTTAATAGTGGCGCGGATCGGAAAAGCTCTGTTGTCTCTGTCTACGGCAAAGGGGGACGTAAGACGTCAGTAGTCTCGAGGAGCACAACGGCGAGCAGTATCAACGGTAATGCAATGCCGGTGGTCGCATCCAGAAAAGACTCGAGTATTTCCAGTCGGCTCACTAACACGTTCGCCGGCTCTTTGCGAAACTTGATTCTCGCCGACAATCAGATTGATGATGATGTTTTTGAGCAAATCACACTCCTTGGCGAATTGCGAACCCTGAATCTGTCATATAACGACCTCAATGACATGCCCCAGCGATGCATCAAAAGCTGGCCTCAACTCGTTGAAATGTACTTGTCTGGCAACGATCTCACAAGCTTGCCTGTCGATGATCTTGAGGAGTTCAGCCTGCTCCAAGTCCTCCATATCAACAATAACAAGTTCACGAACCTGCCCGCCGACATTTCTCGAGCGAAAAAACTAGCTGTCCTCGACTGCGGCAACAATTCCCTGAAATACAACATTTCCAATGTGCCGTATGACTGGAACTGGAACCTCAATCCAAATTTGCGCTATCTCAATCTGTCAGGCAACAAACGATTGGAGATTAAACAACACGCCCATGGGCCTGCTGCTCATAGCCGTGAGCAGTACACCGACTTCAGTCGCTTGCAGAACCTACGCATCCTAGGGTTAATGGATGTAACTCTCACCAAGCCAAGTATTCCGGAGCAAACCGAAGATCGCCGGGTGAGGACTTCTGGTTCGCTTGCAGGTCATATCCCGTATGGTATGGCAGACACAATGGGCAGAAACGAGCACCTGTCGACCATTGATCTCGTCGTTCCACGTTTCAACTCATCTGACACAGAGACACTTCTTGGTTTGTTTGACGGCCAAGCGCTTTCAAGCGGTGGCTCTAAGATCGCCAAATACCTCCAGGAGAATTTTGGGCACATCTTCACAATGGAGCTGAAAGCGCTCAAAACTCGGCAAAATGAGGGACCTGCGGACGCCTTGCGACGTGCTTTCCTTTCTCTAAACAAAGACTTGGTCACTTTAGCCTTTGAGCACACGGAAAAGCGACCACACGGTCTGCATAGAGGATCTGGAGCACCTTTGGCGCTGAGTCAAGAGGACCTCAACTCGGGAGGAGTGGCGACTATTGCTTACCTCCAAGCTCAAGAGCTCTATGTTGCGAACATAGGCGATGCCCAAGCCTTGCTCATCCAGACCGATGGCTCACACAAGATTTTGACCCAGAAGCATAACCCCGCTGAACCATTAGAGCGGCAACGGATTCGTGATGCTGGAGGTTGGGTGTCTCGCCAGGGTAAACTGAATGACCTACTGCAAGTCTCTCGTGCCTTCGGCTACGTCGACCTCATGCCGGCCGTAACAGCGGCACCTGATATCTGTCGAGTTTCAATTACGCCACAAGACGATATTGTATTGATTGCAAGTCGTGAATTGTGGGAGGTCCTTCAACCAGGACTCGTAGTGGACGTCACCCGATCCGAGCGGGGTGATCTCATGCGCGCGTCACAGAGGCTCCGAGATCTTGCGATGGCATATGGATGTACGGGTAAGATCATGATCATGATGATCAGTGTCGCTGATCTGAAGCGGCGACAAGAGCGATCGGCCCGTTTGCACAGAGGGCAGAGTATGTCCCTGTACCCATCAGGTGTACCCGATGATTTCCAATATCCAGCGAAGAGGGGTAAGAAAGTGAGAGGTGAAGTACAGGACTCAAATCTGCATCGCCTCGAAGCCGAGGTTCCCGCGCCGGTCGACAAGCCGTCAATTTGCTTCACGGACATCAAGAATTCTACCAATCTGTGGGAAATGTATCCTGACGCTATGAGAGCATCGATCAAACTCCATAACGAAGTTATGCGGCGGCAGCTCCGACGAATCGGAGGCTATGAAGTCAAGACGGAAGGCGATGCTTTCATGGTGTCGTTTCCCACTGCGACGTCTGCCCTATTGTGGTGCTTCTCAGTACAATTAGCTTTGCTTGAGGTCAACTGGCCGTCTGATGTGCTCAAGTCGGTCACATGTCAAGAGATAGTTGACAAAGACAACAACGTAATCTTCAAGGGTCTGTCGGTACGAATGGGTATCCATTACGGTGAACCAGTCGCCGAGGTCGATCCCGTGACTCGCCGCATGGATTATTTCGGGCCCATGGTCAATAAGGCGTCGCGGATCAATGCAGTTGCCGATGGTGGGCAGATTGCTGTGTCTGCAGACTTCATCTCTGAAATCCAGCGATGCTTGGAGACATACCAGGACAATGAGCGAAATGGCAGTGCCGGTTTTGACGACACGTTCGACGACGATGTGACCGCGCTAGCCATTCGGAAAGAGCTGAAGTCACTCACGTCTCAAGGTTTCGAGGTCAAGGAGATGGGTGAGAGGAAGCTAAAGGGGCTCGAGAACCCGGAGTATGTCTACTCTCTGTACCCACACGCCCTCGCCAGCAGGATCGACTATCATATGCCTGCCGCGTCAATGAATGAGGTGTCTGTCGACCAACCAGCACGACTCGTGCCCGGCAGCTCGATTGGTGTGGAGCCGGAGATGATTTGGTCTCTATGGAAAGTTAGTCTACGCCTGGAGATGCTCTGTAGCTCTTTGGAGGAAATGTCCGGAAGAGGCTTGCAGCCCCCTGAGACCGAACTGCTTGAACGCATTAAGCAGCGTGGTGGTGAAGTCACGGATAGCTTCTTGTTTAACTTCATGGAGCACCAAGTGAGCCGCATTGAAGTAAGCATATATTTTCCCTCTGTACCCTTACCATCACGCGATCATGCTGCTAACTCACGAGTCTAGACCTGCGTCTCGACTCTTTCCCTGCGGCATCTCGCCTTGGGTGGCGGTCCTATCAAACAACTTGAAGACTTGCGCACGCCGATGGCGGTCATACTCGGTCACGTAGCTAAACAGATGGCGGAGCTTGAGAGGTACAAAGCCAGATATGGTCCTCTTGACAACTCCGATGACGAGGGAAGCGATACGGAGCAGGAATGAGACAGAGCATTCCTGTTCTTCGGTGATTTTACGCCTGGGTATTGGTCATGGCCAGCTCACGAACCTTCCGTCTCTATGGTCCGCCTGTTCGCTACCATGGCCAACAACAGCCCTACACGCATGCTTATAGTATAATTGCACTCGCAGTAATGTGTCACGACCAAATCAATTAACGACTACCAGGGGGCGTTATGTTATCTGTTTCTTTTGGAGGGGTGTGGAAAATGGTATGCCTGGAAATAATCTCCAGGACTTCAAAAAGACCTTGTTTCTTGTATAGGTTAGTATCTCTCTCTGGCGGTTCCGAAGATTAGTTCTGGATACATTTAAATGCTGGACAAGGAGTTTGGGTGCTTTGCTTCTACCGCGCATTGCCGTATTCGGGCGCGGTAAACGATGCTATGGAGGTTGCAGCCTCTCCCCTAGGTTTCTTCCTCATTACTTGTACCTACTCTTGTGTCTCACCGCGGCCATTTAATGGTTCTATGAAGGTGCAGGCTGGAATTATGGCCGTAAATCGGTAGCTGGCCAAGCTAATCAGCATGGCCAAAGCTGGAGAACAGAACATATGGATCATCCAGTTTTCGATGAAATTGAGGATCCTTTGCCTTTGTCTGTAATGTCTTACAGAGAGAAGGAGTGCTTGGTACGAAGAAAATTCATGGTGAGTGCGACAGTAGGTGGATTATGCTAGGTATCGATGCTCCCCTGACAGTGCAACACCACAAATGCAGCCTCGGGCGGAGAATAGGGGTTGCGGGACTGCAACCCCTTGCGTGAGGAGTCCTCCGCTATCTAACAAAAAGGTTGCAATCGTTCGCTACCAAACTCCTGGAAAGAAGGTAAATGAAAACTGGATAGACGAGAGTTTAAGAAGGCGAAGAAAGGGAGCCCAAAGGGAAAGAAAAAAAGTTGCGCTGTGCGGGATTTGCACCCGCGTCACTTCCTGAACTCCAAATGGGAGGGAAGTAAGTTAACTACTACTCCAACAGCGCCAAACTGGCCCGAGTTGCCCTGTCTGCGCATGTTGGCGGTTCACCTATTGCTTTTTAAGTACTGGCGACGACCCGTGGTTTCGCCGAAGGACGCGTGCCTGCCGATTTTCCAGTTTACAGACATGGAAGTGGAAGGAAGGGGTTGTCGTGTCTTTACCCGTAGTGGTGCCTCCTGCCGCCAGTCACTCGACTTCCGGGCGACGGAGCTTCGTCCACGAGACCTGTGGTACTTAGGTTGGTAGGCTGGTAGGTACTAGTCGCTGCCGTTTGGTATTTGTGTGACTCTTGCGTCTACTTGAGACATAGGATGCAGTTGGTGATGGATGCCGTCTTCGGCTGCCTGCTTGTGAGGGTTGGTCTCTCCAGTACTTTCACATATTCTCGCGTTACTCGGCGTATGTAGGATAGATCAGATACTAGATCAGGTACGTGGGCATATCTGACGGACGGTTGGGTGCAGAATCGTCCTATCCTATTCGTGGTCACCTCTCAGGTCCTCAATGCATTGGGTTTGTGGTGCTACGTTTGAGCCTTTTTGCTGCCAGCGTTTCTTATATCCATGACACTATTCCAACACACGACACCTTGTACTTGAGTTAAGCTGATCAACCTACCTATAGGGGGGGACCCCATTTCTAGGCAGTGTGCTACAGCACATGCACACTATAATATACTAGCCTAGGTCGAACCGTCTGGCAGCAGGGCTGTACCACTCTTTTTGCGCCGTAGCATGACGGGGCCAGAGGTCTATGCTATCGCGTCTATTCAAATTTGTCAGTCATGGCAATTACCACCCATAATCATGCTCTTTCCAAATCAATTTCGACAAAGGCCCACTCTGCTGCGGCAACCTCTCTGCTGAGTGGGAATTGACTGCTGGCACTCTGCTGGGTTGATTTCGATGTTGCGAAGGCCATGACTTCAGGCCTGGTAGCCTTACCACTTGGTAATAGACCTGTACGATATCCCTGAACCTTAATATATAAACTCCGGAATTGAATGCACTGATCATAGAGTAGTCCGTGCGCGCGTAGTCAAATGGTAAGTTGTAGTTTCGTAGCCCGTAAAGTAAACTGTTCGATTCCAGGCCGTGATGTGCGTTTTTCAATTGAGTGATGTGATGTGATGTGATGTGCCTGGTGACTGTAATGTGGCTAATTGATATGTGGTGACTGGTTGGTGGTAGGTCGTCGGCGCTGTTGTTTTTTGACCTTTTTGACCCCAGGGCCCCTGGCAGAGTAGTGACTGCAACAAAGTGTTACCCTCCAACAGAGGTGCCAGCAGAGTGCCAGCAGAGTGCCAGCAGAGTGTCAGCAGAGTGTCAGGAGTGCCAACAGAGTGTCAGCCCTCAGCAGAGTGTTCGCTCCCAACAGCGTAATCACTGCAACAGCGTAGCACCCTCAACATTACCGTACGCTGTGATAACGCTGTTGCGCTGAAAATTACAGCTATTGCGGTACGGGTGTTGAAAATGGCTGGCATGGCTGAATAATTATCATAGCTACGTCGTAGCATAATATTCACCTAAAATAGTATCAGAAATAACACGTAAAAGCCGCTCATATTTGCCTGTATTATGTCTAGGTGTCAACATTTATGCAGACAGCCTGCCCAGAAAGGGGGCTCCCCCCCATAGGTACTTGCGTATACCTAAACACAATAACCTGATTGGCTTGTGCAAAGCAATGGGGTATTAGGTTTCGCTTCCTACGGTAGCACCACTCACAATAAGACATTCCTCCACATCCGCAACCTATACTATCTGACTGGTGTTGGGTAGATCCAGCACACCCATTGCCATGGAATCGCTCTTCTGTCTTCTCTGCCACGTCACAAACCGTACATCATACAGCCAATATAACACAAACTCATATGCATGCTTCCCGCGCAGACAAATCAGTCCGCGATGAAAATCAAGGCGAAACCCATGATGTACCACTCCTCGATGTTACGCCAAAAGCATTTCCAAGGGTATATATGATGCAATCCCGAACCTCCAAGTGGCAACACGCGCAAATCACACGTCTTTCCCCATTCCCAGAACAACAAGTGAAATTTCACTGAATAAACCTTTACAGGGTCACGGTGTTAAACAACAAAGTCTATGCTCCTGTGAGCTTCTTCCACCAGCTGCTCCGAGGTGTTGTGTCCATGAAAACAGACTCTCGCTGGGTCTTCTCCCCGCTGCCGTCGGAGCCACCGTGACGACGCTCGCGGCGTTCGCGGTCTTCACGCCGAGCACGCCTCCGCCGCTGGTCGGTTTCCATGTCTTCGTCCATGTCGCCATGTTTCTCCCGGCGACGAGCTGCCCTCCGAGCTGCGCGTCGTGCCTCTTCGTCGTCAGTGGCTGGTGGCGCACTAGTGACGTGCTCATCATCGGGCGGAGGACCCGCATCCGACGTTTCCTTCACCCACGAGCTGGTACCGGAATGAGGCCAGGCCGGCCGTTTCTTCTTCTTGCTACGTTCATCGTCCGTATGTCTCGAGGACCTTTCGCGGGGAGAGAAGTAATCATCCATTGGCATCGGCATAGACCGTCGATTGCCTTCTTTCTCGGCTCGTCTGGCCTCTCGCCTGCGCCGACGCTCCTCGTCGTTTTCTGAGGCGTCGACCTGTCGGGAGGCTCGTCGCTCTGCGCGAGCAGCCCGACGAGCTTCTGCCTCGGCATTCGCGCCGGCTGCTTCTTTCTCGAGCCTGCGAAGACGGCGACGTTCCGCCCTTTCGGCTTCCTTAGTATCTACCTCTTCGGTCGCGAGGCGTTGCGCTTCGAGTTCACGCGCGGCTCGACGTTCTGCCCTTCTGGCCTCCCGTGTTTCTTGTCGACGGGCTTCATCGTCCTCTTCTTGGCGTCTGCGCCTCTCACGACGGGCTTCGTCTTTGGTACGGTGTGAATCATCACCACGCTCCTGCTCCTTCCTGGCTCGTCGCGCTGCACGGCGAGCTTCGCGATCGGTCTCTGTTTCCGCCTCCATATTACTGGTGTCTCGAGCGCGTCTTGCCCTCTTGTCTGGTCTTGCTTCATCATCAGTGGTGAGGTAAGTGTTTCGACGGCGGGGTTCCGGACGGATGTCGGGACGGGGCGTTGAAGACATCAGGCCACCGAAGAGACCCGATATGCCTTTCTTAGAACCTGACTTGGAACGCCTCGGAGGTGTAACATCAACCGGGCCGCCCTCTTCGACCATGACGATGTCGTCATCTACTTTAGGCTGTTTCGATCTTCTTCGGCCTGATTTGCCAGGGCCTGATGCAAAGTCCCCAGCGCCCACCATAACAATGTCTTCGTCATCGGCAACAGGTTGCGCTTTTGAACGGCGCCTACTCCGGCCCTTATCCACTCCAAGCAGTCGAGCCGCCTTGGAAGACATCTCCGGCATTTCTTCGGGCGGGGGCGACACAAGACCACCACTCATACTCATATCAACTGATTGTCGGCGCGAGCTAGGCTTGCTAGAACCACGTTTGTCGCGTGTTGACATGGAGCGCGAAATCGGCGGCGTGCTTTGAAATAAACTGTTCATGCGCGATTTGGGAAGCGGCGTGGCCTTCATTTCCTGCTGCTCTGCTTTGTCCGATGCCGATCCCTTCGAAGAGATCTTCTCTTCTCTCTCCCTTCTGGATCTCTTCTCTTCCGACTTGGATTTGGACGACCTTTTCTCCTCCTTGTGTGGGGTAGCTGAAGTCGACCATTTGCCCCAGGAGGAACCACCTTCGCGACTGATCTTGGCACGCTCTTTTCGCGATGAAGACTTGACATCTGGCGGGGGAGTTGGTGGAGCGTCAGGTACCGTTGGGGGAGCGTCAGGAACGGCAGGCGGTGGTGGTGGAGCAGGTGGTGGAACAGGAGGGACATCCTCTTTGGATTTGCTCTTCTTGCTCTTCTTCGATTTTTTCTCGACGGGCGGTGGTGCCAGGTCGACGATTTCAATTATCTCGTCTGGGTCGTCGAAGTCGTCGAGGTTGTCTTCAAGAAAGTCGTCGTCCATGGGAAAGCTGCCTGGTAGAAGTCCCTTGTCCCGCTTCGACTTGACCTTCTTGTCGTCTGGTAGCACATCAGGTGGTGGCGGGGGCGCAGGTGCTTCAGGCAGCACATCGATTAGGTCGCCATCGAGGTCGTCCTGGACTGGCGCCTCGAATTTCTTGAGTCTCTCAGCGAGCTTACTGCTCTTGGCCCTCTTCTTCGGCATAACATCGTCTACAATGACGCTAGAAGCGGGTGGCGCATCCTCAGCGATGATGGCATCTTCCAGAACCTGGCCTGAGTCAGCACCACTAATCTCGGTTGTTGCCAAGCAAAACTGGGGTTGAGGCTTGAGCTGTAATGGAGAGATGCTTACCGCTTCGGGGAACGACTCCTTGGACGTAGGCTTGGCACCCCAGAACGAGAAAGAGTCGTGGGCTTTGGGTTTCTTTGGCGGCGCTAGGCCCGACAGGATTTCATCCGCCTGTTCTGCTGTCAAGTCCACATGGTCGAGATCCAGATCGTCGCCGTCGGCAGGGACAGGGACAGGGACAGCGGCATCTTTCTTGCTGCTGGATTTAGATTTCTTCTCTTCACCTTTGGAACCCTTCTTGGATTTCTTCTTGGATGCTGGAGCTGCTTCTGTCTCGGCTTCGGGTATTGCCATCGCCTCTGCATCTTGACCCTCTCGCTCGGCCTGCTCTTCAGCTTCCCGCGCTGCTTGCGCTGCTGCTTCTTCAGCCTCACGTGCAACTTGTTCTTCGGCCTCCCGAGCGGCTTTGGAACTCTTCTTTGTTTTTTTCTTCGACGCCGCCGCCGCAGCTTCCGCTTCCGCTTCTTCCGCCTCCTTCCGCTCGCGCTCGGCCTGTTCTTCGGCCTCACGAAGTGCTCCCGCGGCTGCTTGTGCCGCAGCTTCTTCCGCTTCTCGCGCTGCTGCCTCTTCCGCTTCACGTGCGGCCTTGGAACTCTTCTTTGACTTCTTCTTGGAGGTTGCTGCCGCTGCGGCTGCCTCTTCGGCTTCTATTCGCTCACGCTCAGC